ATAACCCTAGATCGTTTTCATTACATTGATATCATAAAAATCTGCTCTTGCTCTGTTCAAAGTTCATTATTTATATTTCTTTATTTAATTAGTTTAGAATCAAATATTTCTAGGTTTAATTCTTGTTTAGATAATAAGGATAGTCTAATTTAGTTAATAGTTAATCACAAGTCCTCGTGGGATCGACATCCGACTTTTAGTCACTTTATTACTTGACGATCACGTGCACTTGCGTGAGTGCGTTTGGCCGCAACAAGTTTTTGGCGCCGTTGCCGGGGACATAGAAATTAACTATTTTGGCGCCGTTGCCGGGGATCACCACCTCTTTGCCTTCCAAATGTCAGTCTTTCTTCACCTGCTTAAGGTCGCTCTCAGTTATCTAGCATATATATATCTCGACATTGGCTCACATCGGCCAGGAATCGACGAGGGTTTCTCAACCTTGAAATCGGAAGTGAGATCACACACCCCGGAAACACATTCCTCGATGCGTGGCTCCACCAGCGTCTTGTCGCCGGCCGACCGCAATGAAGAAGCTTTCTCATTTTGAGGAACGGTTTTTGATGTTTTTGCCATCTTTATATGGATTCAGGGAAAGAAAAATGTGAGATTTGTCATTGGTAACGAGGCCTAGAAAAGGACGGAGAGGCTTGATAAGATGTGAAGAACTTTGAAGATTTTCAAAAAGAATTGAAAAACTCAGAAGAATTTTGAAGATTAGTGCAAGAAAGATTCAATGTAAAATATAAAGAAGCAAGAAGAAGGCCTATTTAAGGATTCACGGCGACAGTTCAAGATACTAGTGGCCGACCATCAACTGACGTTCATTAATTATCGTGGGAACTATACTTACGTGACGCTTCGGTCGCTTTGTCGCTTACGTCACAAGGGTGGCATCATAACTAGTCGAGGTGTAAATTGAAGGCTCAGTTCATTTCTTCTCATTACACTCCGAAAAACGAGGGACTATCTATATACGGATAAAATAGGGCTTGCCCGATTTTGCCATTTAATTGAAGACCAGGGAATCGCATCGAGGATTAGTCTCGTAATGGATTGGGTCGGAGCTCGAAGATAAAGTATCAAGCTCAAGAATCGAGGTGCTCGTCGAGATCGAGGCCAACAACGACTGAGACCGTATATAACAGACTTCGAACGAAGCGCAATAACGGAAGGGCGAGATATCCGTAACCAGTCGAAGATCACGGCGGAAATCCCGGAACAGATCAGATCAAGGGCGGTTGTTTAGGCTAATCATGAGATTTACTTCTGTAATTAGAGTTATACCATAATTAGGATTCCTCTATTATATAAAGGGGAGTCCCCATCATTAGGCACCTTACATTCACACAAATCAAAGCAATAAAATATTCTCTTAGTTTATGCTCTTTTGTTTATCAGCTCGTTGCATTTTAACTGTTCTTACATAACTAGCTCGAGGGCCGATCTCGAGGGCTCTGTCCAAACGTTGGTTTGCTTTATATTATTGTCAATTTGCATCTATTATATAAGAATTTTTAGGGTAAACAATGAAAATTTTAAAAAGTCAGCAATGTAAAATAATGTAATTTAGATCAGTTTTATTAACACAAGTAAAATGCTAAATTCTATTTGATCTCTTTCGTTTCGAAAACCATGTTTAAGAATTGCAGAAGTCAGAGACTATTTGATCACTTTAATGGCTTGAAAAAGGATAGATGGCCCTGTTTATGGAGCAGGGATAAATGATAATCGAGTTTTATTTGTCTATGAATAAGATGTTGCAAGGTCAGTTTTTATAGAGCAAAATTGCTATGGCAACACAACTAACTAGACTATGATTAAGCACTAGTAGTTCTACAAGAGAGAAGGCAACATCAATATGTTATGCAGACTACGAAGAAGTAAAACACAACAAAGAGAAACAAAAAACTGCAGAGCACTTAAACAGCAATTCCACCACCTATCCCCCTCAAAGACTCAGTCGCTTGTGGAGGAAAAACCACATTATCATATAGAATTCCTGCTATGGCTGCACCAATGAAAGGTCCAACCCAGTACACTGCTTGATTACCAAAGCTACCTTTGACAACAGCAGAGCCAAATGAGTAAGCTGGGTTCATTGATCCCCCAGTAAATGGGCCCGAAGCCATGACGTTTGCTCCCACAATGAGCCCAATTGCCAATGGCCCAATTGCTCCGTGGACGCAACGTCTAGGATCAGCAGCTGCATAAACTGTGTACACTAAACCAAATGTCATTACACCTTCGAGCACTGCTCCTCCGAAACCAGTCATGTCGTGAGGAATTCCATGTGTCTGAACTTGCTGCAATGAGTACAACAATAGAAAATTAAGGTGTAACTTATCAGCAAATTAGAAAAGAATAGACAAGGACATTCTAGTAGTATGTTGCTAGAACTTATTGTTGCTAGTAACTAAGATTTGTAACACAAGTAAAGGGAAAGTCTTTTGCATTCATATACTACTCGACTCCAACAACTAACTCATTGCACACGACCATAGGAGGAGACAACCAGTGGCGGAGCCAAGAATTTCACAAAGGGATATTAAAATATAAAAAAGTAAACACATGAAGAAGTTAAAGGGATTCAATATAGAGTATATATACATAAAATTAAAATTTTGACCTGACTACACAATGTAATTTTTCGGGTATCAGTAGACACCCCTTAGCCTAAGGTGGATCCGTCACTGGAGACAACATATGTCCTCAATAAATGCGGGACACTTATTGAAGGGGTAAAATGATGAAAAGAACACAAGCAGGGAAATATCTTGAAATTGAAAGCTCTGAAAACATACCTGATTAGTGCATTTCAGAACAAGGCAGGCCATGACAGAACCAAGCATCTGAGAAATCCAGTAGAATATGGACATGGGAATACTTATATGGCCTCCTATAGCCATTCCGAACGTGACAGCCGGATTCACGTGGCCGCCGGAGATATTGGCTGATATATACACTGCCACGGACAATGCAAATGCATTCGCAACTGCAACTGCCACTAGGCTAGATGGATCCGATGTCGCATCAGGAGTCATTTTCCCTGTCAACATCCCATTATATATAAGTTACACAACTCAAACTACATTTTAACGCAAGCCATCATATAGTAATACATTACTACTAGGATTGTAGAAAATCCTGGTAAGCACTCAAAACATTTCTTGATGATCATTATGTTTTTTTTTTTTTTTTAATAAAATAAGAGAGAAGAACTCACTGGTAGACATGGCAGCGCCGGCAGCGGCAAAGACGAAAAGGAAAGTGGAGAGAAACTCTGCGACATAGGATCTAAGAGCATTGGGAGTGACAGAGTGCTGCAAGCGGGAAGCAAGGGACGCCATTTAATGATGATGATCTGAGAAGAATTAAGAAGAAGTTTGAATTCAATTTGCTCCAAGCGGAAACTTGTATTCAACTATTCTCAAAGAAAACGACCAAATGAAGTGACGGTTGAGTGGTTTCCGAAAGTATATATAGGAGTTGAGGGGAATTACTAGGATTTACTGGTTGCAACGATTCCTCAAGGATTTCGATTCAAATATTAACCGCCAAATACAAGTGGCTCTTTATGCTAAACTGCCGTTTTTTTTCTTTCTCTAAATTATAAAATTGACCATTTTGGGTACTTGTTGGGCTGTTCCAAAAAATTGGACCATAGTACCGCTCCTTAAATTGTACGCAATCTATTCTAATAACATCTGCTCAAAAGAAAGCAAAAAATTGACCTTATTTGGCTATAAATAGCTAATTAGCTAATATTAATAGCATTATTAGTAATATTTATAAATTGGTCAATTTTTGCAATAAGTTGCTTATAGGCGTACATAGCTGATAGTTTTGGCAGCTTCAGGAGAAACTAAAAAGAGATACTTCTTTTTTAGCTGACGTGGTAAATAAAAATAAATGGAGTACTAACTAAAATAAGAATAGGATTTAAAAAATGTAAATACATCGGCACGTTCAAATAAAAACGGGCAATTAAAAAGACGACGATAGTAATTCGATATCTATCTATATCTATCTATATCTATCTATATCTATCTATCTATCTATCTATATCTATATTATTATAAAAGCACGAATAATTTATGCTAAATGTTGAACGACTAAAATATCCCTAAAACATTGATCGACTTTTATGCCCTTAAATATTTGTATAATTTTAGGATCTAATAGTAAATTACCTAATAATGAAATTCTATTTCGATTTAAACTACACATATTGCCGATCCTACAATATCGATCCTACTTGAATAAGAAAATGACGTCCATAATTTTCTATAAAAAAATTGTTGTTCCTAATTAGAATTCTCTATTAATAAACAAGGCACGTACTAAAAGAAAATTTTCGTAATATGCTCTAAAAACATTTATAACATTTTAAACAAATTGAAATATTCTTACAATTCTTTAAAGTTAATCTTTATTAGTGCATATAAAGCTAAGGCTAAATTATATGATATATTATGTGTTCCTAAATATGAGGAGTTATTACATAATAAATTAAGTTAATTTTTAAAATATTAATAAAAATATAATTAAATGATAATCTTTTAAAATATAAAATCTACTTTTAAATAATAAAAAATTATAGGGGCAAGTTTATATTTTTTTTTCTTTTACATGATAATAAGGTGGTTCTAATAATACAAATGAGATTGTTCTCTTTAATTTATTTATTTTTATTTCAATATGAGCAATTGATTCCTTTACAATTTTCTCAATGAAAATCGATGGATATATGTTAGATTAAGTTTCCTAGAACAAGTTCGTTCAAGTCGTCTATATATTGAACTTTAACAAATTTTTTCTTTGATTGGTTTATTTTCATTAGATGCTCATATGCCATTAATTGTCTTCAATTCAATGTTACATCAATTTATATTCAAATGAGAAGTAAAATATTTAGAATATTATTATTAATGAATTATGCGTGATGATTGGCTAAAAATAGTTGAAAGTAAGTGAAACACAATGATTGGATCGGCTTCATTACAAAAGCAAAAATATATTACGATGTTCATATAAAATATGAAAATCAACTGGAACTTTCCGAACAAATAGGAAGCTTGTATAATATAAAGTATTGATTTTATCTTTGTTTATTGTTCTGAAGATATTGAATTTCTTGTTTTTTAAATTATCTATCTTTTTCATATTTACCTTATTCTAGATAATAAATATTTATTTGTTTTATAAAATAAATGTATGTACTATTTAAGGTAGTGGTTTATTGAGAGATGCATATGTTATTTTAGAGTATTAAAGTAATATAATTCTTTTAAAAGTATCTATTCTTCATGTCCACGTAATTCTTGATTATTCTCGATAGTACATATTTAAATAGTGGAGATTTATCCAAAAGTTTTAAAATTTATTTTAACTCAAACGATTGAAATGAATTTCAAAATTATCCTATACTTCTTTGTAATTTTCGATAATATTTTCAAGTAAAAAGGTATGAACTCGACACAATTATGTGATTCATATGATTAACCATGTATTTTATTACTCTTACATATTTTCAAAAAATTGTGAAAAAACTTCTTAACAATGTTACGTTATATGTAAAAAATTCATCTTAATAGGTGTCGCATGTAGTTGTTTTTCTTGCATGATTGTGACTGTTATTTTTATTATATTTTGAGGAGCGGGGTAATAATTTTGAGTGAAAAATGTACAAAAATCGTAATTTATTATATAACCATGGAGTATACAATGCTTAAATCCAGCACAAAATACAAAATTGATCGCTTTGTCGAAATGTCGTTCGTCTTTTTTACCCTTTTAAAATAGAGTTCACATTGGATAAAATAGTCATTTCATTATTTTTCTAATATTTAAGATCATTAACAACTATTAAGCCCATTAATTATTTTCCTAATATATAAAACTTAAAATTTCCAATTCCTTTAATTATGGAATTCCAAATAATTTCAACTAAAAGTAGGAAATTTTGGTACTAGGAAAGTTTCGTGAAAGACCCAAATGGTCCCTTATGTATAAGACCAGGTTTAAGTTAGTTCTTTATATATTACCTTGGACATCAATCGTCCTTTAGGTTTGCTGAAATTGGACACCTTTGGTCTAAGGATCATTGAAATCCTTTTTTTAACGAGAAAAAGGGTAGTATGTGACGGCAACTCTATTCCTTAAGGGAAATTGTTAGGCCGAGTGAAAATGGTTCTTTTTTCTTTCCTTGGAAATGCCCAATGAAAACTTCACTCCCAAACTTTTTTACTGGAAAGGGGATCAGGGATGTTGCATGTGACTGACTGGATGAACTTACAATTTAAGCGATGTGTAAAAAACTCCATAGACGAAGTGACTGGTTTTTTGGCTTTTTCTTTTCAAATTGCTTCAGATCCATTTTATCGTCCAATTTGTTTTTCTCAGATACAAAAATATATTTCTTGATCATTATATTTATTTATTCTTCGCAATGAACAACACAATTTGGGTGCATTAAAGTGTCTTATTTTTTTATATAGCGATAGAATTTAATTTATTTAACCTCTATGATTTTGTTACTGGAGGATAGAAAAAGAAGTGCAAGAAAAAAGGAACTTCTTAGCAGAGGGGGGAGCAAAGTCTTTATGCAAATATATGATGATGATGGATGGAGGTTGAAATCGTAAAGAAAGAACATAGATGAAAGTAGCAAAAAGGAGAAAATAAATTTTTACTTAATGGTGGAAAAGACAATAGTGACAGTTGGGTGGTGTGACGATCTCATCTTGCTATTAAATATATTCTGTTACAAAGCACGAAAGCTCTTAGTGAAATGTCGTTCGCCTTTTTTATCCTTTAAAAATAGGTTTCACATCGGACAAAATTGTAATTAAATAATTTTTCTAATATTTAAGACTTTGAAATCATCTAAAATTTTCTTTCCTTATTTGAATTATGTAGGAACTCCTAATATTTTTAATATTTAAGACCTTGAAATCGACTAAATTTTACTTAATAATTGCTTCCTTATTTGAAATCACAACGTCCAACAAAATACGTGTATTGATTCGTTTGGATGCTAAGGTATTAAAAGTGATTTGAACCACTATCTTATTTGTCCTTATTGAAGTTAATAATTAAATTTTATAAACAGTTATAATACCAAATATCAACTCGACCAAAATTAGCAAAGTCATTAAGTACATTTTCTTTTTCATATTTTTTTGAGTATGAGTTCTAACTTTTCAATAATTGCTAATGGAAGTTCACCTTCAACGGTTGCCTTTTGCTCACATAATAAATACTAGTATTAGAACCCGCGCGATGAGCGAATAACATTAAAAAAACTATTAATCATATTATTTTAATAAAATTATCAACTGTTATTTTGTATCTTTAATGCAGTGTAACCAAAAATAAATAAAATTATAGGAAACTAATTATATAGCTTTAATTAACTTTTCTATTTATTATTTCAATTTATTACGTTATCGGCTATTTCGTATTATTACATAGATATAAAAGCTTTTATTAATGGGTTAGTATCCTTGTCCATTACACCATTTTATATATCGATATACATTTTTATTTCTCCTAATTTTTTAATTCTTTTGTTTCTTATATTGTTAACAGTTTTTCGAATATTTAATATATATAAATAATAATTTTGTATTTCCTACTTTATTGATGTGACGACTCAACCCGTCGTCACGTGTGTTACCGTCCCGTTTCTCCCATTTTCTATTTTTTTATGCTTCATTATAAGTATTTGATGTGTTAGAGTTGATTGGGATTAGTTCTAGAAGGAAATGAGACACTTAGTCTCTTTAAGGAAGGCTTGTTTTGGAAAAGTCAACCGGACGTTGACCTTTGTGTTAGAGGGCTCGGATTTGAATTCCGATGATTTGGTTAGCTTCGGGGGATGATTTGTGACTTAGGAGTGTGATCAAAAGTGATTTTGGAGGTCCAAAGTAGAATTAGGCTTGAATTGGCAAAGTTAAGATTTTGGCGAATTCCGGTCGATAGGTGAGATTTTGATCCGGGGGTCGGAATGGAATTTCGAGAGTTTCAGTAGCTTCGTTAGGTGATTTGGGATGTGTGTGCAAAAATTTCAGGTCATTCGGAGGTGTTTTGGTTGGGTTTTTGATCGAATGCGTGTTTCGGAAGTTTCGGAAGAACTTAGGCTTGAATTCGATGAGAAATGATGGTTTTAGTGTTGTTTGAGGTGTTTTGATGATTGTAGCAAGTTTGAATAAGGTATTGGATCATGTTTGTATTTTTGGTTGAGGTCCCGGGGGCCTCGGGGTGATTTCGGATGCCTAACGGGAAGTTTTGAACTTAAAGAGATTGCAGAATTGTGCTGCTTCTGGTATTTTCGCTTCTGCGGAAATGGGACCGCAGAACCGGTACCGGAGAAGCGATTCAAGAACCGCAGAAGCGACAGTAATCGCAGGTGCGAAGATGCCAACCGCATCTGCCGAGTTGCAGATGC